CACACACACACACACACACCTTAAAAAAATAATAAAAAATAAAAATAAAAAGTGGTTTAAAAAAATGTAAAATCTAATGACAGTTAACAGAACAAAGGAAAACTGACTTCACCTGGCAAGTATCTTATGCACTACCCTTAACATGGCCACACATAATAAGCTGGAACTATCTCTGCAGAGCAAGAGAACAGCAATAGTTAAATGAAGTATAAATGGCTATAGACTGACCTGTTAGGGCAGGCACACAGTGGTGCCAGAAATGAACTGCTTTTCAAAGCTATTAATCAAAAGATAGCTGCTTCTAAAACACACATACATCCCCATTCATATTTTCTCTCTCATTCTTACACACACACATACACTCTTGTGTGTGCACATACACAGCTGCTCATTAGAGGCTTATCTAGATGAGTGACTAAGGGCCGGGAAGATAGCTCAGTAAAATAAGCACCTGCCTGGCAAGCGCAAGGTCCTGAGTTCAATCCCCAGTACCGCAAAAAAAAAAAAAACAACTCAAGGTCACTTGAGTCCATGTTCCCAGGCTGTGGTCACTTCTCTTTGGCCTAAATGAGTGACTAAGAGAAAGCTTAGCAGAACCTCAAGCCCTTTGGGTATAGTGGACATGATGCTGGAAAAGGAAACTCTCCAAGGAAAATCACAGGCTCACATAACCCAACCCTGTGAGGCCAGGACAATGAGTCAAGCTGTTGGCCAGGGCTACACTCATCTCAAGGCTCCACTAGATGAGGAGGAGCCTCTGCCACACCCACTCACAGGACCTATTCACATGGCCTCCAGAAGTCCTATAGCCAAGTTCACAGTGTGGTTGCTGCCAAGCCTTGTTTCCTCACCACATGGCCCTGCCCAGATTGGCCTCAATTCATGGCACCAAATTTCCAGCTGAGAGAGAGAAGTAGGCAGGCAGGCAGGCAAAGAGAGAAAGAAATACAGAGATAGAGACAGAGACAGACAGACACAGAGAGACAGAAGCAGAGAGAATAAACAGGAGGAGGCTGGAGGACACGAGAAGAGGAGGAGACAGGGTTACAGGGACACAAGGCACTCTTTTTATACCCTAAATTAGGAAATGACATATCTCATTGCTTCTAGAACTAAGTCACTAAGAATAGCCACATCCAAAGAGAAGAGAAATAGGCTCCATTTTTAAAGTATGGAAAAATGAAAGAATTTACGTACAAATCTGTATCTTATGGTACCCACCAAAAAAATTACTAAAGGGGAAAAATGTCACTGGATAATTAAGGCATCAATTAACATTTCTATTCTCATTGTATTTCCAATACCCATGAAATCTTAACCTGCTTCCTCAAAGAAAGTTACTGTTTTCTGAAAATGCTAACTCCTTAAAGAGTCTATACTGAGGACAGGGTGGGAAGATGTGTGCCTCTGAAAGGAGAAAGGTAGAAGCAAGAAGAAAAGAAAATGATCCATTTGAGAATGGAAAGGAACAATGTAGTGAGGAATAAAACCAGGGCCCTCGCCAGGTGTGGTGGCTCACACATATCATCCCAGCACTTGTGCTGAGGCAGGACTGGAAGCCAGCCTAGGACACACAGTGAGTCCAGGCCAGCTTGAACTGTGCAACAAGATTCTGTCTCAAAAAAAAAAAAAAAAAAAAAAAAAAAGAGGGAAAAGTTGGGGATACAGCTCAGTGGCATAGTGCCTGCCAGGCAACTGCAAGGTTGTAAGTTCAGTTCCTGGCACACAAAAACAAAAAGAAAAACAAAAAGGAAGAAGAAAAGAGGAGCAGGAGGAAAAGGAAGAGAAGAAGGAAGAGAAAGAGGAGAGGGAGGAGAAGGAGGAGAAAGAGGAGGAGGAAGGCTGAATCCCAGATACTGGAATCCCATAGGCCTGGCTCATAACCATCAGAGACAGTACACTGAGCAAGGGACGGAAGCACACAGCTGTAATCCCAGCTACTCAGGATGCTGACGCAGTAGGATAAAAAACTGGAGGCTACTCTGGGCAATTTAGAGAAACCATGTCTCAATTTTTTTTTTTTTTTTTTTTTTTTGGCGCAGAACCAGAGATTGAGCTCAGGCCCTTGCGCTTGCCAGGTAAGCGCTTATTCTACAGAGCTATCTCCCTGGCCCTCAAAAATTTTAAAAGGCCTGCAGATGTCACTCAGTAGCATAGTGTTTGCCTGCCCTGGGTTCAATCTGCAATGCTGAAAACAAAACAAAACAACAACAACAAAAAAAAACACTTGCTAAGATCCATATACTCTTAGACAATATACTTATCAGTTAGAACCAGATGGGCTGAAACTAAACTTCCACCCTTCTGGCTCCTCCTAAATCTATCAAATTCTTGAAACTCCAAGGAGGGGTGAATATAAAGTGTGCTTCTCAGAAATAAAAAGAATTAAACCTGAATTTCATCAAGTCTTGAGAACTAGCCTAACTACCAGTTTAAAAGACACAAATACAGGGCCAGCCAAATAGCTCAGCGGATTAAAGCATCTGCAAGCAGGCACAGGGACCCGGGGCAGTTTAACAGCAATTGAGAATGGGGGTGGTGGCCTGCACCTGTAACCCCAGTTATTGGGAGGCTGTAAACAGGAGAATCACTACGAGTCCGATTTAGTAGTGAGACCCTGAACACCCTGTAGACTCTCCCTAAAATACAAAAAAACAAAAAAACAACAACAACAACAAAAAAAAGCATTCCTATTGAAGTTATAATTGCCTCAAGATACTATGAAGAAAATTAAAAGGCAAGCCCTGAGAAAATACCTTCAAAACATATACTTCATTTGTTTCAAACTGGTTATAGTGCCAATACCTATAATCCCAGCACTCGGGGAAGCTGAGACGGGGACCTGGGGAAGTAGTTCATTACAAAGGCTCACTGAACTCTGGATCCAATCCCCAGTGCTTTAAAAAAAAAAAAAAAAAAGGAAGAGGAGCCAGGGAGATGGCTCAGTAGGATAAGCACTTGACTGGCAAACTCAAGGATCTGAGTTCAAACATAGTTATGTTCAGCAATTCCTTCATCTTGAAGTGTTCACCAGATACTGAAATCACTTAAAATCAGACACTAAATTGATCCATTTTTGAGATTTTTTTTTTTTTAGTGGAACCAGGGATTGAACTCAGACCTTTGCGCTTGCCATCTGAGCCATCTCCCTGGTCCCCATTTTTGAGAATTTTTATGGCTGGAGTACTAATGGAAGGCAGCAAAGGCAGGTGAAAGTGAAATAAAGGTAGTCTTTTATTGTAACAAGGCTAAAACATTTGAATTCTGTTCAGCGGCAGTAGGGAGCCACAGAGCTGCTAAGCACTAGATTACATGATCGATTTGCATAGTGTGGTGAATTGATTAAATATTACAGGTAGGCAAATTCATCCAGAGGGTACCAGGAATCTGGCAGCAGGGTAAGGAGAGTTAAACCACTATAGTCCAAAAGAAATACAACGTTGCTAGCTGTGGTAGCACACATTTATAATCCCAGCACTTGGGAGGCTGAGGCAGGAGGATCACTCTAAATTCAAGGCCAGCCTGGGCTACATAGTGAGTTCAAGGCCAGCCTGAAATACAAAACAAGGCCCTGTCTCAAAAAAAAAAAAAACAAGAAGAAAACAAAATTCAATACAAATCTTCAATACAAATTACTTATGTAATTTTGATTTACCAGTGGCTACCATTAGAAAAGTAGAAGGTATACCAGGTGTGATGGTACATACCTGTAATTTAAGATACTCTAGAAGTTGAGGCAGGAGGATCTTAAATTTGTGCTCAGCCTGGAAAATTTATCAAGACTCTAATTTAAAAAGGGCTAGGAATATCACTCAGTGGTAGAGTGCCTCTGGGTTCAATTTCTAATATCACCAAATAATTAAATAGTAAAAATAAATAAGTGAAAACAACTTTAGTCATTATACCTAAAATAACACTTCAATGCATATTCATTAAAACTTAGAATATTCTTTTTTTATACTAACTTAAAATTTAGGGTGCAGGCCTGCTGTGCCAGCCCTGCCCCCAGGGCACACGGAGATGGCAACTGAGACTGGGAATGGTGGCATTGCCTGTATTCCGAGCTCTTGGAAAGCTGTAAACAGGAGGATCACTATGAGTCCCATCTAGTAGTGAGACCCTGAACACCCTGTAGATCCTTCCTTAAAATACGAATAAATAAACTGACATCATGAGAAAAAAATTTAAGGTGTATTTTATACTAAATTTTCACTGGAGGGGGCCGGGGAGATGGCTCAGTGGAATAAGCACTTCCCTGGCAAGCGCAAGGGCCTAAGTTCAATCCCTGGTTCTGCCAAAAAAATAAAAATTAAAATAAAATAAAAAATTAAATACAATAAATTTTCACTAGAAGGCCAGGGAGATAGCTCAGTGGGTCTCAAGTACCTCCTTAGGCAAGCTTAGGCAAAGCACAGGGACAGCGGTTAGCAGGCACCACATGCCTCACTAGCCCCATCCCCAGGGGGCGGGCTGAGACAGCTACAAAAAATAAGTAAATAAGGGCGGGCCAGATAGCTCAGCAGATTCAAGCGCCTGCTTAGGCAGACAGAGGGGCACAGGTTCGATCCCAGGCATGCCATGTGGTCCCCGCCCCCAGGGCACCCTGAGATCTTGAGACTGAGATTGAGACGTGGTGGCACATGCCTGTAATCATAGCACTTGGGAGGCTGAAAAACAGGAGGATCACTACAAGTCCAATCTGTGTGATCAGACTTGTAGTGATCCTCCTAGAGACCCTCTAGACCCTGTACTAAATATGTTTAAAAAATAAATAAATAAATAGATTTTCACTGGAAATATTTGACAAGTTTTAGATTTCATAAAATCCATAGATGAAATAATAGATTCACATGCCCAAGGATGTCTAAGCCATACATAAACATGCTTCTGAAAAACGATCAGCTTGTAAATTAAATAAAATTAAAAATCCAGTCTCTCAGACATGGTAGCCACACTTTGAGAGCTCTGGCTGCATGTGACCACCACATTAGACAGAAGAGGCCAAAAGAGTGACAGTCTGGCACTCCCATATTAGTATTTTATAACTTCCTACTGCTGAGGTTTCTGCATATTAACCAAAATAACTTAGCAGGTACTAACTACAAAAATCACCCCCGACCATGTCCTTATTGCAGCTTCCTTTCTCCAGGCCAATGTCAACAAATACAAAAAAAACGAGCCTTTGAATAACTACACAGAATTGTTACAATAATTGACACATGGAATGGGCTCAAAAAAACCTGCGGAATTCATGCTCTTCTTACTCAAGGAATCATTCACTTGTTTGTGGCTGCTTAAGCCCTTTGTTACTAGGTATCTTCCTAAGGCTCAACCAATTCAGTTCATTAGATTTCATATATAATTAAAAAGGAGAAAACAATAAGGAAATCATCTTAATTGTATATGAAAAGCATTACAGTGTTTTGGCTGCAATCTTAAACTCTGGAGTCATCAGACTACCTGGATTCAATTTTTTTTTTTTTTTAAAGGGGTAGAGGTTTGAAACAGGGTCTCATTATGTAGCCAAAGCTGGCCTCCAACACATGGTGATTCTCCTGCCTCAGCCTCCCCAAATGCTGTGATCACAAACATATGCCACCATATCGGCTTGGATTTGAGTCTTTGTTCTATCATTTATTAGATGTGTGATCTTGGATAAATACTTGGCTTCTCTAGGACTCAACTCCCCCCTCTGCGCAAAAGTGATGACACTACACTGTACTGTCTTTTACGGTACCTCAAAGTTTACAGGCAATAATCTACATAAAGCCATGGCACATAGTACTTGACATCCATCAGTTGCTCAATAAACATTAGTTTTACAAACAGAGATAGTGGAGAAGTTTAAATTATGTCTACAGGAAAAAAATAAACTAGGATTTCTCAATTACCTTCAATACAAATAAAAACGACAGGTGACAATTTGAAATGCTCAAAAGGAAAACCCACCTTGTAGGAAAGCTTCCACATTTACAATAAAAGCTAAAGCAGAAAGTTCCTCGGCTGGCCGTGGCATTAGGCAGTATGGCACAGGTGCAGTCAAACAAATAGAAAAACACGAAGCCAAAGAGGCAGGCGTCTGTCTTACCTGCTTTTCCGTTTGCGGGGTGGTTTCTCCACTGTGCCAGTCAGTCTGCAGACCAAACACACGATGCCGGTAACTCAGAGCGACATCCAGGAACCAACACGACCAGGCCTCGGGATGCCAGGCAACAGGCAAGCGTCCCACCCCCCGGGACCTCAGCCTGCTGTGCCCACCGCTGACCTTACAAACACCTTAGCCCTGCCGCCCCAGGTACGAAGACCCAGCGGTGCTGGAACTCACGACTCCCGCACCGTCCTCCCAGCCCAGCCCGCTCTGCCTCCTTACGCCACAGCCCAACTTCCCCAAGCCCCCCAACCCCCTACCTACTCATTGTCTGCCTCCCTCTGCCACCACGGGCGCCCCTCAGCCAGCCCTCCGCGTACCTGCGCCAGCGCCCCGCCCTCCCCGGTGGCCCCTCGCGGAGCCCCCAGTTCCCGGGCCCCTCGGAGCCCCGCCCCTCCGGCCGGGCGCCCCCCGCATTCCACCACCCCTCCCGCCCAGCGCCCCCAGCCTCAGCCCCTCCTCCACGCGGCCCCCTCACCCGACCTCGGATGTGCTCGCCCCGTCCCCAGGTTCCTTAAAAGCTCCCGGCCCGCACCCCTTGCTCTCCCGGGCTTGGCGCCCCCGAAGCCCGGCGGCCCAGAGCCACTGCCCCTGGGCCCGCGCCCTCGCCCTGTCCCCTGGCCTCGGGTCCCCCAAGCCCCCGCCGCACCTGGGGGCCAGGCGACTCCGCGGCTGTTGGGGCTGCCGGGCTCCTCTGACCATCCGGCTCCTGCTCCGCCGCGGGAGCTGCTCCGGCGGCCGTTGGGCTCGCTCGGGAAGCTGAGGCGGCGGAGGCTGGAGTAGGCGGAGAAGCGGGAGGAGGGCCTCGCGCCTCTGTCAGGCTTGCCGCGGGGCCCGCCTCCTCCGCGCCTCTCCTCACCTCCCATTGGTGCAGCTGGAATGTGGCCGAAAGCCTGGCTGCCTATTGGGCCCGCGACCCGTCACGTCCCGGGCTGCCCACTCCGAGGTTTGGTTGAGACTGCAGGTGGCGGCGGAGAAGCCTCAGAGACAGCCTTCAGAGGCGAAGGAGACTTAAGCGCCACCGTGCGCCAGAAAGTGGGAACTGCACCTCCGGCGCCAGACACCTGCCTGCAGGTTCTCTTGGCGCTGCGTCCTGCATCCCAGACACCTGCTGGCGGCCTCCCCCTCACATCCGCATCACTCCAGAACCAAAAGCCAAGCCCTACAGTTTTTCCGAATTCCTCACGCAGGTGCAATAGGGAGGCAACTGTCCTAAATGAGCTCTCTTTTTGAACCACCTTGAATTTGGTCTCTGATCTACATCTTGCTGAAATGATCTCAGCATAACGCTACAACTCATAGAGAAACGGTCACAAAATTTTAAGAATCGATGCAAACAAAGCATGGTTTGGCTGATCTATCGTCTGCTGGAAAAATCACAACCTTGGATGTAGGCTTTTTAAAAAGCACGAGATTTTGTTTTTTAATTACCATGGGGAAAAATCGACACTGCAAACAGAACGAATGCTGTAACAAAAAGGGGTATGCTGCATTTTGAACGATATAAACAGAATTGATTCCTGGGTGTGTGCTAACTATTCCGGTATACTGCAGATGACTGTTAAGTTCTACACTGCCCAATTTTAAAATAAATTTCACTGCATTTTGGCAGCACTACACATGAAAAAATACCAGCATATATAAGCATAATAAATTCTAGTTACCTTTCCTCTTCTCTAAAAACATCCCTGAAAATAAGGCATAGTATATTAATATAAAATATAAAGTGCATTAATATAAAAGGCAACATGCCCTCTCTGCTTCTCTATTCCTGTATGCAGTTGTTTAACAGATCCTTAGCATCTGCTTCGAGTTGGAAGGACTCAAAATGTTCTCATAGGACTAAAATGTTCTCATGAGCCACTTCCATTTTATCAGAACATACATTTATGCACCAATAATGTGACGACCTAGTGTAGTACACATCAACAACGTGTGGAGGACAAATTTCTCCCTGATTTCCATAAATGACAAAATTCAAGATTCTAGCCAGGCAAGCTGAACTTGCTTGTTATCCAAGAACTCTTAAGAGGATGAGAAAGGAAGACTGAACTCAAGCCCAACTTGGCAAATTAGTGATTGTCTCAAAATAAAAAATAATATCTAGAATTATACATCTTTTAAAATTTTTCAATGCCCTGTAAAATTGGCTGTGTAGTCGACATCTTCCAATGACGCATTCCGAGCTGTCCTCCAGTCACATAATAAAGAATTTGCTTTTTTAGTCCAAAAACAATAAAATAAAATAAAATAAAAAATAAAAAGGGGTCGGGCAGAGTGGCGCACGCCTGTAATCCCAGCACTCAGGAGGCTGAGACAGGAGGATTGTTGTGAGTTTGAGGCCAGCCTGAATTGTGTAGAAAAGCACTGTCTCAAACAGACAAAGACAAAATAAATAAGGTTAGGGATGTGAGCTCAGTGTGAAGGTCGTGGGTTCAATCCCCAGTATGGAGGTAGGTGGTGTTTAAAATGCTACAGGTTTTCATAAAATCAAATAATATATTTCTTGTAAAAAGCTGTCCCTTATTCTGAGATGGTTTTTTCTTTTTTTTAGAGAACAAAATTTCAGGGCAACATAATAGGAGGGTAATAATGGTTAATACATTTCATAACGTTATCTTTAGTTGCTCACAGTACAAGCTATAGAAATTTAACTATCCAAGCAATATTGGCACAAATCTTTCTTTTTGATGAACTAATTTAGACTAATGTAACTGTTTTACTATCATATTGCTTTTCCCTTCCTTTTCTCCTTCCCTCATCCCAGTTTCTTTCCTTTTAAACAGTTTCTTCCCATTTTACAATATCTATTGTATATTTTGGATCTTACTCTTTCAGCTTCTCACACATGGTGTTTGCACACATGCATCCAGTTTATTTCACTTATGAGTATGGTCTCCAGTTGTATCCATTTACCTATAAAAGTCTCCAGTTTATCCTTCTTTACAGCTGAGTAGTACTCCATTCTATAAAAATACCAGATAATTTTTGATGTTAAAGACTTTCATTTATAAAACATAATTGTGATGGTAAATTTGGTGGACTTGCATGTGCATGCGCCCCCACTGAGGACCAGATCCCAGGCCTCACATGCTAGGCAAACACTTTACCACTAAGAAACCTATCTGCAGCCCTATCATGGGATTTTTTAAAAATGACCCTAACTAGGAGGAAAAAAATGGTGTTGAACACGTTGTTTGTCCAAGTATTTTATGTAATCCCAAAGTCACCAAACCGTAAATCACTTCAATCCTGTTTCCACCATATAATCAATCCAGAAGATAAATTCCAGAATATCTTGTCAGACAAGAAAGGGGAAAGGGAAAGTAAACAAAATAAGAGTCCTGATAAAAAGGATGTAGTCATTAGCGAAGTAATTTTGAAGTCACTGATTACATTTCAAGTATTGACTAAACGTCTCTGCCCAATTTCCAATGTTTCCCATAATTAATCTGATACATGGTAGACACTGTCACTCTGCTAATAGAACTACAGAAGTTGTTTTGTGATACTGGGGATTGAGCCCAGGGCCTACATCCACACTGTATACTGAGATAAAGTCTTGCTAAATTCCTAACCAGACTGGTCTGAAACTTGGAATCCTCCTGCCTCAGCACCCGAGAGTACTGAGACCACAGGTGTGAGCTCAGCTATTCATTCTTAGACAGTACCTTTCCACGAACTACTCTCAAGTCTTCATGTCATGTCCAATGTTTGCACTTTTACCCTGTAAGTTGTGTACAGACTGTTGTCCCAGGCCACATTTCACTCTTCATCTCTTTTAAGTCTAGGCCCAGGAACTCTGTCCGCCATCAAACATTTCCTTCTCCTGTTGCAGTTAAAGTCAGCAATTACGGCTCGTTCTCACTTCCCAAATGCACGAACTCTATGCAGAATGCGAATCCTCAATAAATGGCGCCTATGAGCAAAGACTGGGTACTTGCTGTGTTATTTTCAATACAGTTCAACCCTATGTGGTATTCTCTTATTTTAGGCACAGAAATTTAAGATTGAGAGAATACAATTTGCTCAGGACCACACACTTATATAAATCAGAATTCTCCTCCCCCCACCCCAGGACCAGGGATTGAACTCAGGACCCTGCACTTGCTAGGTAAGCACTTATTTCACCAAGCCTCCTACCTGGCCCCTAAAAACCTTTTTTTTTTTTAATACCAGGGATTTAAACTCAGGGCCCTGCACTTGCCAGGCACTTATTCTACTGAGTTATCTCCCCAGCCCCAGTATTCTTAAAATAGAAGGCTTAAGCGCTACTCTGGTGTGCATGGTAGCAGATCAAGTTCCAGCTCCTCTATGCAACTGTGGACAAGTTATACTTACCCTCTATGTGCCTATTTCCTTACCTGGGGTTAAGGAGAAAGAAAAACGGCCATATAATCAGGGGACCTGTAGAATAGCGCCTGGACAGCATTTAGCTAACTGCTTAATCCAGAAATCTCTTCCTATCCAATTACTTTTTCTATTATTATCTTTTTTTTTGCAGAACCAGGGATTGAACTCAGGCCCTTGAGCTTGCCAGGGAAGCTCTTATTCCACTGAGCCATCTCCCCGGCCCCCCAATTACTTTTTCTAAAAGCCAGGTGTTGCTAGATTTTTGGGGGTAAGGGGGGAGGGCTTGCTAGATTGCTTGCTCAAATTTCATTCGAGACTCCCAATGCACTGGGATGATAGGCATGTGCCATTACCTGACTCTGCTGCCTTTGGGGGTGGGACAGGATACTGGGGATCAAACGAGGGGTACTTTACCACAAAGCTACCATCCCCAGCCTTTCAAAAAAATAAAAAATCTGTCTTCTTTTTTCAGTCTTGCTAAACTGCCTAGGTACCGGGGACAAGAGGCATGTGCTATGATACCCCACCGTCATTTACACATGAAATCAAAAGTACTGAGAACCACAGTGAGTGCCAGGGAGTGAAACACACACGAGGTAATAGTTTTTGTTGTTGCTGACACACACCAAAGTAATCTATAATTTTATGCATTTCTGAAGAAAATATATGAATAATGTAAACCAGGTTTCCTGTTGAGGGGGAAAAAGGCACATATTCATCGATTAACATGGAAATAAAATATAAACAGAAACTCAGGGAATCTAATGTGTTTCCATCATATCAGGCAACTTCTCATATGTTTCTTTTTGGTTTTTATTACTGTGTGACTCATCAGCATTACTGCGCACTGTACATACATAATTCAAAGAGTTGTGATGATCTCACGGAGCAGGGCTCTGGGTGCTGGACTCAGGTCAGTAACTATTGCTTTTAAGGAACTGGAATGCTCAGCCTAGAGTCAAATGCAGAACAAAAATAAGTTTCACTTGTTTACCAGTCAAG